TGTATCAGACAGTGTTTCTCTGCTATTCATAAGGTTTTCCCTGGCCAATTCTTTGAGAAGTGGATGGCCTCTTCCTTCTTCCTAGTCTGTCTCAGTCTGCAAGCTGGGCTGATACCTGTGCATCATGTGCACCCCACTGGATTTGAAACTCCAGTGGCACAGCCTCAAAACTCACAGCAACACGTCAGCACAGTAGGACAAACCGACAGACGAGTTTGTCTCCCTTAGCTGTTGGACCCCTCCAACCACCCTTACCTGGATGCCTGCAGCTGACTCCTGGAGCTGTTCCGGTCCCCTTTGCCTTTTCTGTCCTCTCCCTGCCTTCTCTCCTCACTGCTTGTGGGGCGTGGCCTGGGTTCCCTCTCCTTACCTGGGTCCCTGAGGCTGACTTCTCGATCTGTTCCTGTCCCCTTTGCATATTTCGGTCACTATACGTGCTATTCCAGGTTAATTACCCAAAACAAAAATCTGTGTTTGAGTCATGTTCTCTTTTGTATATCTAATAATTATTTTGTTCTTTCTCTTTTATAAATGAAATTTGCCAGAGATTTATCTGATTTAATGGTCTTTATAAACAGCAGTTGTTTTATCACGTCTGTAATATTTTTGCTTCATGTTTCGCGAGTATCTGCCACTATCTTTACTCCTTTCAGACATTTTTAGAGATCTATTTGTTTTGTAAATATTAAACAATATTTCATTGTTGTTTTTAAGTTCCACTGAATTGGTTCTGACTCATAGCAATCCCATGTACAACAAAATGGATCACTGCCTGGATTTTCAACATCTTCACAATCCTTGCTGTATTTTGCCCCATTGTCAGTCTGTTGAAGATCTTCCTCTTTTTTACTGAACATCTATTTTACCAAACATACTGTCCTTCTCCAGGGACTTGTCCCTACTGATAACATCTCCAAAGTACGTGAGATGAAGTCTTACCACCCTTCCTTCTTAGGAGCTTTCTGGTTGTACCAGGGGTCCAAACCAGTTCTTTGTTACTCCTTTACTAGCTATAGTGAAGGGTCTAAATCATATTACTTTCAGTCTTCTTTTCTACTATATGCATGTATTTCTAAATTTTTTTTTTATATGTTGATTTTGGTTATGTCTTACACATCTAAAATGTCATATCCTCATTGCCACATGCTTATATTTTCAGTTTTAGTTTTCTATTTAATCAAAATGGCTGAATTAGTTGGTTTCCTTTTTATTGTATTGTTTTTAGAAAACATAACTAGAAACATTTTTTTGTTTTCATTGTTGAGGTTTTCTTTGTGGCCTAATCCATGGTCATTTTTTTTTTTCTTTAAGTTAATGTTAAATATGTGCCTGTAAAGAATATATATTATTAATGTGTATGTTAGATTAAAATGTTAATTCTAATATTCAAGTCTATATAGCTTTACTTATTAGACATCTTATTCTGTTGATGTTTAAACTACGTCTGTTAGATTTGAGACTTTCTCTTCTTGGTAGCATAATGCTCTAGATTTCCTTTGACTTTCCAGTCTGAGAGCTTTTTTATTATAGGTGAAATTGATTAATTTACTTTTATTCATATGTAATCATTTATATGTTTGGAATTGATCTTTCCTTCTTATTTTATTTATTTTCTATTTATCATACTTTCTTCTTATCTGTTCTCTTCCAACTTTTCTTACCCCTGTCCCTCATTCCTTTTCATTATTTTGTTTAGAATTCATACATGTTAGTTATATTATTTTAGTAATTGCCTCCTAAGACTTAAGAAACATAATTAATGATTACATTTGGAATTAATCAGTATCTGCAGTCTGTCCAGATCAATTGGACAGCACTTCCTCAACTGTGTTGTTTAGTTTTATGTTTACCTATAAGCTCCTGCTTCTTTTATCTGCAATAGTTTCCTCCAACATATGTTGAGATTAGGTTCCTCCAGTCTTTATATTTAAAGGCCCTGTGGTGGTGCAGTAGTTAAAGCATTCCGCTGCTAAGCAAATGGTCAACTGTTGGAACCTACCAGCTGCTCTGTGGGAGAAAGATTTGCTTCTATAAAGATTTGCAGCCTCAGAATGCCTATTGGGCACATCTGTTGTGACCTAAAGTGCTCCTGTGAGTTATAATCAACTTGATGGCAGTGAGCTTTGGTTTGGAGTTTACGTTTGGAAGAAGTAAAGCGGGAATACTCCTTAGAAGTGAGGATGGCGAGACTTCATCTCTTATATTTGGTCATGTTACCAGGGAGGAGCAATCCCTGGAGAAGGATACCACGCTTGGTAAAGTAGAGGGGCAGTGAAAAAGAAAACCTGGAACACGATGAACTGGCACAGTGCTGTAGCACTGGGCTCAAGCACAGTAGCGATTGTGAGGAGGGTGCAGGGTCAGGCCGTGTTTTATTCTGTTTTCCATGATGTTGCTATGGATTGGAACCAACTCAGTGGCACCCAACAACAACAACAACAACAAAAATCTTTACTCAGTTTTAAAATAATCAGGATTAATCCTAATTATTTTCTGTCTTTGAATTCTTCAAAATTCTTGATTAGACATTGGCACTCTTTTTTTTCCCTCATTCCTCATTTTGATGTATTAATTTTGAAAAATTATCTTTTCAGTCATTATATGACATTTTAAGTAGGAAGGAGGTAAGGAACATGTATTCAGCATGCCAGGTAGAATCCTTTTAAATGGTGGGGTTTAGATTTATAGCTGTGTGTAATTTCATAAGTGATATATTATAAGAGCACATGTTCAAGAGAGTGTGCTATGTATTTCCTACAGGAAATGCTTTTGCTTAGCTTTTAAAATTGGTTATTATGAAGGCACATAATCATTTTCAACCTTTTAGTTATTTTATATGTGCTTAGAACTTTTATCGGTAATCTGTTCGTTATGTTTTTAACTAATTCCTTATGTAATTATTATTTTAAAATATATTTTGGTATTATCCTATACCATTAAAATAATGCATAATTTCCTACTGAAATAAGAGGTGAATGGTCATCCCTTAGAGAACAACTTCCCTTTTCTTGTTCTCTGGTTGAAGTTGGAGTCTGAACTGGGCAAAGCAAGCAGTTTCTTGTTCATGATGCTATGTACTGTTTCTTAAGGAAGAGTTGTCTTCTTATAGATAAATCTTAAGGATAGTTAACATATACGTATGAGAGTTTTTTTCTTTTTTGGTGTGAATTACCTTTTTGCATTATCATTAAAAAGTATTGGAGGATAACTTTTATATGTTTGAATATTATGCATGATTTATAACAGGTATTAGTAAACTTTTTCTGTACACAATCAGATAGTTAATACTTTTAGCTTTGTGGGCCTTATGATCACTGTTGCTACTACAGCTCTGTTGTAGTGTGAAAGCCATAGACAATCTGTAAGTGAATGATATGAATGTGTCCCAGTAGAACTTTATGGAGACTGAAACTTGATTTTTGTATACTTTTCACATGGCCTGAAGTATTATTGTTCTTTGTCTGCCCCTCCCCCCCGAATCATTTAAATTTGTAAGACCTACTCTTAGCTTGATCTGTACAAAATAAGTGGTGGGCTGGATTTTGGCTGGCTGAACACAATTTGCTAACCCTTCAATTAGAAAATTTTACAATAACATGCAAAAAAGCTCATCGTATATCAAGTGGGAAAAATAGCAGGTTACACAATTTTATGTATAGCGTATTTTCATTTTGTAAACAACAATTTACAGATAGGACTGGAAGTAGAGATTTCAAAATATTAACAGTAGTTCCCTTTTTGTTGCTAGATTATGGGTAAATTTACATTCTGTTAATTTGTATTTTCTGAGTTTCACATCTTAGATGTTTACTGTGTTGTTTTTAAAAAGAAATACTCTTAATCAGAAAAAAAGTGATTGAAAAAGTAGCACAGAATCTGTGCATTCTTAGCAAAACCAGGATATTTATTGTAATTAGCTTGATCAGTTTTGTTTACCCTCTGTTCCTGTTTTAGCCGACAAGTCCCAAATTTGGAAAAGCTGACTCATATGAAAAACTGGAAAAACTAGGGGAAGGATCTTATGCAACAGTCTACAAAGGGAAAAGCAAGTAAGTTTATTATTTTTTTAATATTTCATATGTAAAATATATTTGCTTTCTTAATACTAAATAGCAGTATATTTTAATTTTTATTTAATGTACATACAATAGTGATTTTTTCCCCTTGGATCACCCCCCTTGCAAATGTGAGAATTAGAGTTGGTTTTCTTTGCTATCAGTTTTGCATGTTTGTCCCATTTGTGCTTTCTGTTCAGCATTTTCTCTCCTTTGTCCCTTTTTTTTTTCTCTAGTTGGATTTGACACTCTGTGATGAGAATTCATTTCCAGGTGAATGATGTGGTTAATTTCTCATGGAGGTTTAGTGTTTGCTTAAGAATAAGAGTATGGATTTGAAAAAGTCAAGTATGTTGGCTATTCTTGATGTCTTTTTAAATAGAGCTTTTACTCCATCTTTCAGAAGACAGTTCAGAGAACTGCAAACTTTTTTTCTTTGTTTCTGTCTGATTTGGTGTCGTGCTGCTTATATTTTCACATAAAGAAATAACTTTTTCTCCCTTTGTCCTCTTTCACCTGTTACATCCTAAATTCTAAAAAGCGTGTCCCCCATTTCCTCCATGTGTCTCTGAGAGGAAACAATTTCTTTATCTTAATGATTAAGAGCACACAGGTATCATATTCAGTGGCACATAGCTTACAGAAAGCATGATGCTATTTCTGAAGTAACCACAGGAGGCATAAGCTTTGTTTTAACTCAATAACTTTAGCAAATTATGTTAAAAAATAATTTCCTAAACTGTTTACTTTTTTCTCTCCTTTCTTTTATTTTTTTATTATTATAGAGGGTAGAAAATTTTGACGTAAGTAAATTAAAAAAAAGAAAATTCTCTGAAGAATCATTCTAAACACATAATTAGCAATATTTACTGTATGCTAATTTGGTAATCTGGCTTTTCTGGAAGCTGTTACCTATGCTTATATTTTTTAAGTTAAAAAAAGGAAGGAGCTGCTTCTCTGGAAAAACACCAAATGGCGGATGACGCGGGTGCAGCGAGGGCCTGGAGGCCCCGGGGGCCCGGGGGCCCGGGGATGGGAGCCCGGGGCGGCTTCCGCGGAGGTTTTCGCAGCGGCCTGCGGGGCCGGGGTCGCGGCCGTGGGCGGGGTCTTGGCCGAGGTCGGGGAGCTCGCGGAGGCAAAGCCGAGGACAAGGAGTGGCTTTCTGTCACCAAGCTGGGCCGGCTGGTCAAGGACATGAAGATCAAGTCCCTGGAGGAGAGCTATCTGTTTTCATTGCCCATCAAGGAGTCTGAAATCACCAACTTCTTCTTGGGGATGTCCCTCAAGGATGAGGTTCTGAAAATCATGCCTGTGCAGAAGCAGACACGTGCCGGCCAGCGGACCAGGTTCAAGGCCTTTGTTGCCATCGGAGACTACAACGGCCACGTTGGCCTGCGTGTTAAATGCTCCAAGGAGGTGGCCACTGCCATCTGTGGGGCCACCATCCTGGCCAAGTTGTCCATCGTCCCGGTGCGGCGAGGCTCCTGGGGCAACAAGATCGGGAAGCCCCACACAGTACTCTGCAAGGTGACTGGTCGTTGTGGCTCTGTACTGGTGCGCCTCATCCCCGCGCCCAGGGGCACTGGCATAGTCTCTGCCCCTGTGCCCAAGAAGCTCCTGATGATGGCTGGCATTGACGACTGCTACACCTCCGCCAGGGGCTGCACTGCCACCTTGGGCAACTTTGCCAAGGCCACTTTTGATGCCATCTCCAAGACCTACAGTTTTCTGACCCCTGATCTGTGGAAGGAGACCATCTTCACCAAGCCTCCCTACCAGGACTTCATAGACTATCTCGTGAAGACCCACACCAGAGTCTCAGTGCAGAGGACCCAGGCTCCAGCTGTGGCCACCACATAGTGGTTTTTATACAAACAAGACAAATAAAACAATTGAATTAAGCCTGGGGGTGGGGGGGAAGGAACAGCTGTGTCAGTAAGGAAATGCATAAATGGTGTAAGTCCAAAGTAGTAGTACTTTTAAAGCTTTGGTATTTGCAAAAAAAAAAAAAAAACCTAAAAATGTCCTGCTGGTTTTTATTTGAATGAAAAATGAAGATAATACAAAACAAAACAAAAAACTCAAAAGGCTATTAGTGATTTAACCATGTTACTTGATCATTGTGGGATACCAAGTAATGGTCCAAATGGTTGAACTAATTTCAACAATTGGTTTGTTTACCAAATTTTCATATTTTTTCCTACTCTACTGTATAAAAACTACTTGCACATTTAATGTTAATAATTATGATAATTACCAGTATTAAGCAATCATTTGCCCAAGGCACCATACTTCCCATTTTCAGATTTACTGTTCACAACACCCTGTAAGATAGGTCCCATTATTACCATCCCCATTTGACAAATTTGGAAACTTGGTCCTCAGAGAAATGTAAAAAGTTTCTCAAGTCCTCACAGGTAGTAAGTGGCAGAGCTTGGTTTCAGCTCATATCTGTCTGGCTTAAAACCATTTTTTTCCCTATCCAGTATACCACACTGATTCCATAGTATAAGGTCTTGGAAAAATTGGTATTTATTGATTATTATAGATGATTCTCACATATACATAACTGTACTTGTTTTAATTATGAACCAAACAGAAGCACACGTGTATTTCTTCCAAAGGAAATAAACCCAATAGTTGGGAAGTGCTTTCCCTAAAAGATGTGCTCAGCTGATCTCCAAATGCTAGTTAATAACTCTATTAAATGTTAACTCTAAGATTTATGTCAAAGCCTTGGAGATAGTTGAAAGAATCTCTATTTATTGTGACTGAATAAAAGAGAGATGGCCTTTAAAAGGACCTGCAACCTTTTGAGAATGATGGTTTTGGACAGTTGATAGTTTTCACTCCAGCAGGTCTAAATTCACCTTGTCAGCATTTCTTGAGCAGTTTCAAGCCTGCTGGTCACATGTAGTGTTAAATTCCCTTCAGCTGGATGTGAAAGTCATTGCCCACTCACCTGCTTTAAGAGATGACGGGTTTCCTGTGCCTGCTTGCTCTAAGGTGGCAAGGTCAGGAAGGGCAACAACAGTTACGTGCCATCTAACAGGATTTGAGAGCTGAGTTGGTTTGCTGTTTCTTTTGAAGTCTTGCATAATTTAAAGAGCCAGATAATGTTGGGAACAAAATTCCAGTAGTTTTCAGTACTTTCCTATAAATGTCTGCACCCCGACCCCATCTTTAAGCGTTATCTTTAACATCCTCCTCCAGAACAGCTGTAATTATCTTGCAATAAAGCTGCCTGGCATTTGTGTTGATCACACTGATTTTCACTTTGTCAGCAATTTACATTGTGTGTGTGTGCGTGCGCGTGTGTATTATATTTATTTATTTATTTATTTTACTGGTGTTAAGTTTGAATTTTACCATAAACCTCATTAGTTCCAAGTCTTACTAATTTTGCATTAACATTCATGACATCTTTCTTCTTCTACCTATAACTTACATAAAACCAAAAAAACCAAACTCACTGCTGTTGTGTTGATCCTGACTCATAGCGACCTCTCCTTGGGTTTCGGAGGTGGTATCTCTATGGAAGCAGATTGCCCAGTCTTTCTTCTGAGGAGTGGCTGGTGGGTTTGTATTGCCAGACTTCTGCCATCTGTTATCTCATGATTTTTAAAAATAAAATATAAACAAGGAATATTTGCCCCATTAAGAGGTTTGTGTACTTTTTGATTTTGATATAGTTGCTATTAAGCAAAGTTTAGAAACCTGAGTAGGAATGTTTTCATTATCTCTGAATTCTCTTGGGTCTCATATTTGGGATGAGGTAACATTGATTGAGATTCTTGTACTCTAGCGTCTTTGTTAATGAACCTGTGTCTGAAAAATGGCTAGCTCACATTGCCTACCACTGCCCAAAACACTCACAAATAAGTTTTCTTTATTTGGGGGGGAAACAAAAAAGAAAGAAGCTTTGCATTTATCACATTTTTATATTTGTGTAGAGAGCTTTATTTTTGGTTGGTAGTATTTGTTTTGACAAGTACTTATCATCTTCTTTTACATTGTTTTTTTTTGTGTGTGTTTTTATGTAATTTTTTTGGAGGGGGCAGCAATTTATTATCAGTTTGACTATTTATTCCTATCGTGGTTTGATATTCTCATTATATTCTCTCTGCTTAACTCTTGTAACATTTAATACAGCACTTTTTAAAAAAATTATGCAGTGTATAATGCTGTGTATTTTCTAGAAGTATGGCATTTTAAAAACTGTCTTTATTCAAAGATCCATGTAAACAATTAGTCCAAAAGATTAACAAACCATGAAAACCTCAGCCTATATGACCCTGAGACCAGAAGAACTTGATGGTGCCTGGCTACCAATGCCAACCACTTGGAAAATGATCAACATTGGAAATACTGGATAGAGTAGGAGAAAAATGTGGAACAAGACTCAAAAATCATAAAAAAGACCATGTTAACTAGTCTGATGGAGACTGGTGAAACCCCTGAGACTACAGCCCTGAGACACCCTTTGGGCCTGGTATTGAACTCACTCCCAGGGCTTAGCTCTCAGCCAAACAATAGACAGGCTTACCAGCCGAGCAACTGTACCAGGGAGATACACTCGTTAGAATAATCAACCATAAGGGATCAGAAGGGTAGCATTTTGCACAAGGAGAAAGGCAGGGAGGCAGGAATGCATAGGCAGGGAGGCAGGAATGCATAGGCAAGAAGGACATAGGGAAGAGGTAATCAAAGGGAGCCATGGGAGGAGAGCTGTTCCAGTGTGGGGAATGAAACCAGTGACAAAAAACAAAATGTGTGTGAACTGTTGAATATATAATGAATCTGCTTTGTAAAATTTCACCCAAAACAAAAAATGTAAAAAAACCACAAGTAATGTTTTTACTTAAGCATCTTGAAATCCTTTTACCTAGGTTTGCCAGGGACCCGTGTCTCTTTAAGATTTTAAGAGACATGTTAATATTTTTTATTTTAATCAGCTAATATTGAGTGTTTTTTATGTTTTTTTTTTTTTTTAC